GGGTTTGGGGGTTTAGGGATTCAGGGTTGTAGGGGTTTGGGGACTGAGATTCGGGAGTTTAGGAATTTACAGGTGTAGGGATTAGGGTTGTAGGGTTGAGGGGTTTAGGGGTTTATAGGGAAGCCAGGGAGCCCGAGATCTGTTAGTCAAGCTAAATCATCTGGGACAGCTCAGCTTGGGTTAAGACGGTTAAGATGCTTGCCTGTATGATTATGTCGTCAGTGATTTTAGACTTGTTATTCTGACCTAAGCTATGGTCCCTAATTTAAGGGGTATTGGGCACAACGGGAAACATCTGGACGTTGGGGTCTTTCGAGTTTGAACAGAGTGAAAAGGGATTTGGGGTCGATTATAGTACATTGTTATGAAAAAGCCCTGAGGAGTGTTTGATGTTGATCACTGCTCACTCGGGCCCCAATATACAAGTGTCCGCGGTACCGGATGCACAGTTTCCTAGAGGAATGCAAGGTTAACCTTCAGGAATTGATTTGGCTTCAAACTGCAACTCCATGAAGGTTGCAAAGGCTATTGCTCGACTACTAAGATTCCATTCCGCTTAGAGTTGCCATGCGGCTACTACGAAGGCTTCATAAAACCAACACAAATAGTTTTAGAAAGTTTTAGAATAGGGGCTGGTGGTATGGCATACGAGTAGGTTCGTTACAATATACCCCGAAACCCGATTCAGATGATTAAGGCCTCCATTATATTCTTATTATTCCTCTTCTTCTCTTCTTCTTATTCTTCCTCTTTATTATCGCCGTATAGTATAATCATTCGTGCCATTACTGCTGTTTTTCAGCATTGTTATCGCTATTGTCATTATTGTTCTGAGTCTACGCGTTCAGGCCCCTACTAGGAAGCTCAGACTCCTATATGGTCTACGTTTTAAGGTTCCGTTTAGGGTCTAAGGTTTGGAGTGAAGCCCACTATCTGGCTGCTGTTTTCTAGGGGTTTCGGGTTTTAGGGTCTATATAATGTTTAAGGCTCAGGGAGGGTTTAGGGTCCAAGATTTGGAGTTCAGGGTTTAGGCATTTCAGGCATGCCAGGATTCCCATCACGATGATACCAAGCTTCTGGCTTGTACTCTTGGGTTTTATGATTGCGTGTTGACCTTCCTTTTTGCCCACTTCCTGGAGATGGCAGTGCCAGAAACACAACAACTTCGATAGATGCTAGATGATGCTCGGATATCCGGCCTCAGGGTATCTATGGCGTTCTCATGGCAAGGATCCTCCAAAACCCATTTTCCTAAACCCCAAACCCAGACATGTAGATTGAAAAAAGCCCGCCGAGGTCTAAAACCCAAAGCCCTCGGACCTCTGCGAGAAGACGTCCAAGCTCTGTGCGGCTGTGGACGGACTCCTGAAGACATTAGGGCTCCTTACCGGGTTTAAGATTTATTTATAGAGTTCTGGCTATATTTAGGTTCTTTAGGGTGCAGGGTTTATAAAGTCTAAGGGTTTAGGGTCAGGGTTTAGGGTTTATAGAGTTTAGGTTTAGGGAGTCTCGTCGAATTTCAAGATAGAGATCCTTACGATCGTGGGTAAGATCTTACTTGCCGTGGTCAATGTCAGGGCCCATGCAGGTGTGTGAGTTTCTCGAATTCGGTGGAGAGGGTAGCTTATCAGCAAGAGTCCCTGGAAGTCCCACATGCGAACATCTGAGACAAACCCTACAACCTAAAGCCCTAAACCCCAGAAAGAAGGGCCTGAGGCCGGACTCCTGGCCTGTGTTTTTGCGAATACATCTATACATACACAGATATATGAGCATGTATACATATATATATATATATATACAGATATAGATATAGATATAGATGTAGATATAGATATATAGAGATATAGATGTATAGATATATAGGTATATATACAGATGTGTATATATATATATGTACACATACATCCATGTTGTATCTGCTATCGATTGGAGACCACAGGGAGAGCCTAATATTCCTGAGTTAAGGAGAGTTAATACGAGAACTGCGGTCAAAAGAAAAACTTTTCGCTATGAAACATGTCCTACTTAATGTAGGGGCCTTCATGATTAGAATAGGGTTCTGGGGCCCATTTTTTCTATAGTTACTAGACGAAACCCCGGAAATAATATAGGTAATGATTAAAGCCCCTATATCATCCATGGGTATCCAGTTTGATTTGAAGGGGCAACCAGCAAGACAGCAATGGATATAAAAGAAGAATCAAGGGAGCTTAGGATTTCTTGGTAAGCCATGGAAGCTTTCTCCGGTTCTCAGGAAGCTCAGTGATACGGTTCCCGCCGGGGATGTACAACCCAGACCCCATCAAAGACAAGGAAGTTGGGAGTTGTTTCTATCCAGGGCGTGTATCCCATTGCTCCGAGTTTGCACTTTACACTTGGGAGGAGGTTGTTGCAAATCTGGTTTCAGGAACTTGTGTTTTTGTTATTTCTCTGTATCCTGCGAGTTATGATTTATCTAGCTCTACTAATTACCATAGGGTTCTGCAGCATGTTATGTATAGTGTGGATATAAAAACGAAGCCTAAAAAACCTAATAACAAGTAGTATTCAAGCTGGTATATTATTAACTAGTGTTAGCTGTCGGACGAGGCGTATAAGAATCAAATTCTGAAACATGGAGCTTGTGAGATGCCCCTTGACCCGGAACAAGGAGACAAATAGAACATGCACCCATGGAAGCCCATGGAAGTGGATGAATTCGAAACACCGCAAAGCTTACTAAACAGTGCATGCCGAGCTGCTGCATCTGCCTTCTGTTCCACAATCCTGCAGTACACTGCAAAAATCTGCAAAAGGAACGCGAGCATGCAATTTCACCCAATGCTGACTCCGCAGGGATAATACCTGCTTGGTATGCTGTTGTACAGGAGCCAGATTGCACCAGGATTGCGCTGGAATACTACTGCGAAGGCTTAGGCCATCTGCTTTAGGGGCTGCATCTGAATCTGCATCCAGCCACCGAAGTCCGGCAAGAAGATCAGAGTGCTTTGGCTTTGTAGGGTTACAACCCTAAGCCTACCCTAAACCCTAAATAAACCCGAAATAACCCCTAAATAAACCCGAAATAAATGCTAAATACCCAAACCCGCAAGGCCAAATCAGCCGCAGCCGGGAACAAACCCCGCTACTGGCTCTCAGAACAGGTTTCTAGGCGGTTTAGTAGACTACAGGGGCCGTGTTAAGTAGAATAGGGTTTTGGGATATATTATACAATATTCATACTTAGGAGCCCGCAAAATAATAGTGGTATTGATTTAGGCCCCCATATTACACCACAAACCAAAACCTCATCCGCAGAACCCTGCCTTTGCAGATCCTCAAATGCGAGCATCTTGACCGTGCTGCTGTTGAGAGCGACGAACCTGGTTTGAACGCATCGGGAACTTTGAACCAGGGTTTAGGGTTCAGGGTCGTGGAACTTAGAGCCATCCATATCTCGAAAGCCCCGTAAATCCCAAAACCCTACACCACAAACCCTCACATCTAAAGCCCCTGCCGGTTGAAGCCAAATGCGCTGCCCCAGGCCCTTCCCGACCTACTGACTGTAACCTCATGATAACTTGTAGACAAGGCGTCGCAACGTGCAACAGGAAAAACAGTACTGTTGATAGTCATGTAAACGAAAGTAAATGCTGCTACTGCTGCTGAACCTAGACCGCTAGGCTGAAACACATGATATCGTTCAACATGCGTGGACGGGTCCCCGGTACTAGTATTCCTAGAAGGACACTGCAGCCACAAACCCACCATTAATTACTCCGGAAGAACCCTGCCGTCAAGTTGATGTGTATGTGTATGTGTATATATATATATATATACACGTGTGTATATATATATATATATGCATATATATATATACACGTGTGTATATATATATATGCATATATATATATATATATACATACCAGATAGATAGATAGATAAATCGATAGATAGATAGATGGATAGATACGTAGATAGGTAAAAAAACAACTTTCTCGACCCCGAAACTCTACACCCCGAAGCACTATAGAATCATTATATACATCCCTTGAAGATCCCTTATAGAACCCTTGTCAAGCTCTTTTCGAAAATAATTAACAGGAACTCTAAAACAAAAACAAGAACCTCGAACCTAGGAGCCTGATTCAGAAATCCTGGCCCTATAACTCCTATATATTGCGACTGATACAAGGGAGGTTCCAAAAAAAACAAACACACGCCTTAAATCCTCGACCCTTCAACCCTAAACCGATAAATTACCTTGAAACCCGAAGCCCTGAGCCCATTACAAAAATAAGAATGGGGCCCGTTATATTACAAAAACAAGAAGGAACTTCGAAGATGGTATTGGTAATAATTAGGTCCCTACATAAACCCAAGGAAATGGAGTCCAAGGAGCTCGGACATGCTCGGCACATCCCAGCGGTCGGCCTGTCATTGCTCACTGCTTTGAACGGTCGAATCGGGGTACATGAGTCCTATATATCAGACACATATAATACAGATATGTATCTACGGCATATACTACATAGAACAAATATAGATGTATACATACATACATTCATACGTACGCATATAATACACTGTCGCTCAGGGTATCTGGCGAGGCGGTGAAGCACACCTAGATACGATATGAAGATGTACATACATGCTTACATACATACACACCTTATATGTCCGCCGGATTTAGAGGGAGGCACAGCAAGATCAAAGAGGGCACAGGACTTTGCAGCAGGTTATGTAGGTTTGCCTGGTTACTTCGAGGGTCAGGTGTCTTATTGAGTAGTCCATTAACATGTTTGTAAGCGGACAGGCAAGAAAACCCCCATTGAGGGGAGCCACCATGAGCCAATGATAATCTTTGTGTGTGCGGTTCACGATGAAGTTGGAGTGGTGTAGGCAGCAAGGTCAACGGCGAAACTTTCGTTTGAGTTGTCTCTGGTGTCGCTGTTGTTGTCTCTTCTTCGTTCCAGAAGTCAACCGCTCTCGTCATGCACGCTCTGGGGCGTACCCTAACCCACGCAAGTCCAATAGCCGATCCTATAAGCCCCATAAGCCTTTATGCCCGAAACTCTGTAAGCCATGTAAACCCTACAAAACCACAAGCAACCCTCGCGTTCGAGCCTTGTTGTCCAAGTTGGTGGTCAGAATCTGAAACTGAGACAAGGTTGGCGTGTCCTTCGGACAAGGCTCAACCCACAGAGGATGTAGGGTTTGGGGGTTTAGGGTTTAGGTTTTAGGGTTTGGGGTTTTAGGGTTTAGAGTTAGGGCCATCAGGGAATCCGGCTTACCTGTCATGGTTTTGAGTTTGGGGTACAGTAAGGTTCAGGCTTGTCATTGTTCGAAGCTTTTTCAGACTAAGTTCAAGCTCTGCCCCCCGTCGGAAAACCAGGTTTGCGGCGCTAGGGCCTAGGGCAAATCAGCTCCCTAGACCTCCAACTGTAATGCGTTATTGAATAGCCAAGGCCAAGTTTAGAGGCGCTACAATAAAAAGGGAACAGACCCATCCATGCAACTTTAGTCTTTTGGGCTTCCCACATTTTGGGGTTGCAGGCTCTAGGATCTATGTTGAGGAATCCACCTTCCGAGAAAAAGAGACCTTACTGTGTGGAAACCCTCAACGGCAAAGACCAATCCTTCAACGCAGCCTTTAACAAAGCGCCATAACCCTCAACCCGACATCGTAAACTGTACCAATCATCAACAGTACCGATAACCCCCAGTGAGCTCAATTCTGGTTAGTAAATATGATAGCGTCACTACTCCCCAAGCAAACTACCTTGGAGGGACCTGGTAAACGGGGCCCTAAACCGTGAGCTTGCCTGGACATTAGAGTAACCCGTGTGTGGTTACCTTAGTTTCTCATCTAGGCTGCTGATCATAGAATGGCTTATCCAACGATTGGGTCGAGGTACTGGATTTTTGTTAAGTACTTGCATTTAATTTGCCATAGTACGGAAACCATACTATCCACTATAGATCCCTATTATGGAATCTTTAAACAAATTCTAACCTCTAGACCCTAATCCCTAAACCCTCCTAGAATCCAGAGTAGGCCCTGAACCCTAAACCCTATACTACTGTTGATGCAATGATATAAACCCTGCATTACACCTTAAGGACCCTAAACTACGGGAATTATGTTATCTTCCTTATTGCGGGTAATGCAGGATTCATATCATCAACCGTAGAACCCAGAGGAGGCCCTGAACCCGAGAGTCGAAGTAGGTCCTTGCTTTCAGCCTTGTTCTGCAGCATGCGGCTCAAGAGCTGCACTTCCAGCGCAGTGGCCACCTTCATTTGGGGCTTAGGGGTTTAGGGTTTAGGGGTTCAGGGTCTAGGGCTTAGGGTTCAGGTATATGAGGTTTAGGGTGGAACCCCCCGCCCGGAAGCCCTGAAGCCCTAAACCCCAATGACAAAAGTAGCATGGGCGCTTTAATAGCCCTACCACGAGGCTATAGATGCCGTGTCTGTTTTGGTTGCTGCATCTCTTACTCTACAGCCCTCAGCCCTAAACTGCCCTAAACCCTCAACCCTCTTAGGAATAATCCCCTAAACCCTAAAATCCTAAACCCTCTTAGGAATAATCCCCTCAGCCCTAAACCCTCTTAGGAACCCTTAAGTCAAATCCTAAATCGTCCCCAAGGAGCTTGGTGTGACTTCTAGTTCGAGGAGTTCTAGGAAATAGTCTCCGTGCTTTGCGTTTCTAAGCTCTCTTCGCGAGAGGCTTGGAGTTCAGCGCATACTTAGAGGACCATGGGACTTAGTAAGTAAGGTTATAGGTACCTTATACTTGGGGTCATGTAAGTGGAAATAACTATACCTACCGTATTCATAACCCTAGTTACCAAGTTGCATGATCCTCGCTGTACCTCCTTGCACAGTTTCCTCTGTGCCCCCAGCGCGAGTTATGGGTTACATACTCGAGTAGGAAGTTTAGTATTCAAGGCTGTGATTGCCCCGAGCTTTCCTCGCCGAAACCATGAAAGAGACACCCGACAGCTCGAAGCAAGCTGTGGGAGGGGAATTCTTCAACCTGCAGGCACTTCTGTACAGGTACTTATTGTATTGATCAGACTAGACCTTTCTAGTCTCTATGTTGGGTTTGCCTGCTTTCCCAAACGCCAGGGTGAAGAGCCAACAGGCATGGTCACCCTAAACCCTAAGCCCGCACCCTAAACCACGTTTATAGAGGACCCGCCTTCAAGGGTAAGGGGCAAGGAAGACTTGCATCTCGTGGTTGGAGGCTTCAGGCGAAAGTATCGTAAAGTTCAGGTTGAGGGATTAGGGCTTTCAACGCTGAACCCCCACATTTCAAGTTCGGAAGCACCGATAAACGCAGCTACGTTTTATCATGCAGCTAGGGGGCATCACCGGTGTCCGCCTTGCGGGCAAGCTCCTGATCAGGCTGTGAGGCAGCCTCGCACTTGCCCAAGCCATTCCGGGGTAGGGGGGCTATAGAGTGTTCAGGGTTCAGGGGCTAGTTTTCCTGATTCTCAAGTTGCATCTAACACGATCTGATTTCAACCCTTGGGCGATAGATACCCCAAAACCAAAGAGCTCGCGCGTTTGGAGGTTGGCATGTCTTACATAAACGTCCGAACAAATCTCGCAATCACTGTGAAACCGAAGAAACACTAATCACTAGGGCACACCCGGTACTGTAGCTCCTAATTTTACCCTGAACCCAAGACCCCAAGCCCGAACAATCACAAAAGCTCACAACGGTCTGCTGCATCGCTCCTCCTGCAAGCGACGGAGCTCAGCCTCGACCTCCAGGTGCAAATTAGAGGATCGGAGGACGAAGTCATAGGGTTGCAATCGGAGTTGGGATGCCTCTAGATGGAGTTGCTCTCAAAATAACCCTACTTACAAGCAACATAGTTGCTGCCTCCCCTCATCCTGTAAGCTTTGAGCTAAGGCATTCCAAGAGTCCTGATATCCTCAAATAAGAAATGCTCCGCAAGGGGCAGCACGGAAGTCTACTCCTCAAAAGACTCGAGTGTTTACGGCGGAACCTCACAGCAAAATCCACAAACAGTCTCTACCCAACTATGCATCTGAATAAACATCAAATGTCGTGCAGTGGGATATAGATACTTTGAAGATCATGGGACTTAGCCAGTAAGGTTATAAGTACCCTAATTGGGGTTATAAGTAATTGTCACCTTACTCAAAGCCGTCGTTACTGAGTCTCATGATCCTCCAAGTAGGGTTGCAAAGTCCTGCTTCGCGAAGCCTCACCTTTTGATAACATGGGATTCGGCTGGGTAGGGCCCTGGATGACATCAGGAGTGGACCAAGGATTCCAAAGTTGGGATGCGCTGGGTGCCTGCACTTACATATGAATCTTAGCAATACCGGTTTTCGTCTGCATCGGCAATATACTGTAGGGCTTCTTGTCATAAATGGTACATATTCGAATCTCCCGCGCACATGGCCGCCTGGCCTGAGACCGATGTTGCTGCAAAAACTCGAAGTTGGCAAGGGTCGGAACCTGCGTTTAGGGTTTAGGGTTTAGGGTTTAGGGTTTAGGGTTTAGGGTTTAGGTTAGAGCCCAGGACTACCCCACTCGTCAAGGAAATACACCCCTCCGGCATGAGGCCCCTTATGAGCTGTTGTTACGGTTGACAGAGGGCTACGTACGTACTCTTGGCTGCATCTGAAGGGGGCCCGAGGGATTCCACACGGTTTAAGGTTTATAGGGTTTAGGATGTTGAAGTCTTCAGGCATTGCGGGGAAATTTGGAGAGTTCTGCACCGTACGATTCCTCTTCGGAGTCCTTTGAACAAGGATCCTACGGAGTGGATCCATTCCATCAAGGCCCCTTTTTTTTCTGTACAAAAGATCGCATTTCCATACCTGATACCGACCTTCAACTCGCGGCCTCAACGACTCCAAGGATCCGTCAATCCCAAACCCCACTCGGTTTAGGGTTTAGGGTTTAGGGTTTAGGGTTTAGGGTTTAGGGTTTAGGGCCTAACCTCGGAAACTAGGCCCGTCTCCCCAGACTCGACGGGGTCTCATCCCCATAAGGCGGGGTCACAGCTGAAGTACGGGGTTTAGGGTCTTCGCCCAAGCCGGCCTGATTTGTAGATGCCTTGCCGGCGACAACTTCCTCCAGAGCCTCTGGGCTTTCTTGTTTAGAGTTTCGGGTTTAGGGGCCTTTCGGGCTGTTCGTGGATCAGGACCCTAAGCATCCCTGAGCCGGAAGACCTTACAGCTAAAACCTTGAACCAGCAAACCTTAAGCCTTATACCCCGGACTCTGGACCGTAGACTCTAAGTTCTAGAAAGACCCGAAACTGAGGCCCGTAAGGGCTCTGCCTACATGCCCTACCAATAGCGACGGCCCTCTTAAAACCCGAAAAGCCTCCGACACATAACTCAAACATAAGATCCTCTTTGTCTTTGACCCCAAAGCTGACAAATAAAAAATGCCTGAGTGGCCAACCTAGGAGCAGGATCATGGAGGGTGGGGTGGGGGGGGGGGGGGGGNNATGGGAGGGTGGGGTGAAACATCTGAGTGGGGTTGGGGGGCCAGCCCTAAACCCTAAACCGTGACATCAGACCCTGAGCCTAACTCCCCAAACTCTGTTTTGGGCTCAAATGTTGCAGGAATTGTGTACTGGTCCTGAGAGAAGCTGCACAATACCATAGCTGCGTCGGGGTCAGACTCGGGGCCCGCAGGTGTTTACGACGGGACTTGCGGATTTGGACATAGCATCCGGGTACAGAAAGATTTTGTTTTACCCAAGCGTAGACTCCAACAACCAACCAAACAAAAACACGAAACTCCTCACGCCATAGCCTCATGCCAACCGTGAAATCTAAAACCTCCGCAGCCTGAATGGCAATCCCTAACCCTGAAACCCTGAAGCCCTAAACCCTGTAGTACCATTAGAATACCCTTGATGGAACAAGGAATTCTTAAATGAAGTCTTCAGGAACCCTCTACGGAAGGATCTCCCCTGCTTCGAATGCACAAAGGAATCCATAAAGGAGTGGACCCCGCAGAGGAATCCTGCAAGGAACCCCTTCATGGAACCCACAAGACAATCCTTCAAGGAGCTCTGCAGGAACCCTTAATGGAACCCGGAACTCATCAGGAACCCTTAACAGGACCATAAAGGAATGCTTAAAGGAACTCTCCAAGAACCCTTGAAGGAACTCTTCAAGG